TTAAACATAAATAACATTACTTGATAAATATTAAGCTTATAAATATTTAAAGCTCCAAACTGACGTAAGAGAGGTTTGCATTGTGTTCTTCTGTTTGCCCCAAATACTATTCTGCAAGCATGTTTTTGTTTACTATAAATTTTTTTAAGTTTAGTGTGATTAGTGCTACCCCAGGAAATGTTACAGTATGAAAGATAGCTGTGTATAAACGAAAAATTTAAATTTATTAAAGACTCGTTATTAAGAAAAGGTTTTGTTCGATATAACATGGCAATATTTTTTGAGATCTTACCTTCAAATTATTTAATATGAAATTTCCATGACAGTTTTTTATTCTAAGAGCACTCCCAGAAAGTTTGCAGTCAATTCTCTTTTAATTATTTTATTATTGATCAAAAGATTGGGTAGTTTAAGAGGAATATTCTCGGCTTTACTAGGGTTATGGAATAGGATAAATTTTGTTTTCTCTACATTTAATGATATTCGCTTACTTATAAACCACTCGTTGATCTTATCTAATTCTTCGTTAAATATTTTAAAAAGAACAGTAATATCTTTGTAAGAATAAAACAAATTAGTGTCATCTGCAAATAAGATATTATATTTATCATCAAAAGTATTTAATAATTTTGATGATAAATTTAAGTCATTAATATAAACTAAGAACATTAATGGCCCCAAAATAGAACCTTGGGGTACTCCACAAGTTATTAAGTTATTTTTTGAGTCTTTTTATTCTTTAAGTATAAATTGCTTTCTGTTAGTTAAGTATGATTTAAACCAAAGTAAACTTTGGTTTTTAACACCATAGTTTTCTAATTTTTTCAAAAGAATTTCATGATTTACTGTGTCGAAAGTTTTGGATAAATCAATAAAAATCTCTATTGTATGTCAATCACTATTAAATTCATTTGATATATACTTAACCAATTCAATTATTGCATGGTCAGTAGAATGATTTTTTTAAAACCGTATTGATTATTATATAAAATTTTATTTTTAGATATTTATAAATTCTGTTGTACATAATGCGTTCAATTAGTTTAGAAAAGCAGGGTAAGGCTGAGATTGGTCTGTAGTTTGAAATATTAGTATCACCGCCAGATTTGAAAATAGGTGTTATTTTTGCAATTTTTAGTTTATCTGGAATATGACCTAATTTAAGGGAGAGATTAAAAATATGGAAAAATGAGGGATCGATAATATCAAAACAGATTTAATTACATTAACATTAATTTGATCTATACCTGCACTTTTATGTTTTTCCAGACTATTAAAAGCAGTATGTAGTTCACTTTTGGTTAAAACCGGTTCTTCCATAATTAAATCAGTTGTTGCAAGATATGAATCAAATTTTTTTTGACCTACTGGAATTTTAGCTGCTAGGTTTGGGCCAACATCAAGAAAAAAATTTCTCAATAATAACTTCTTTATAATAAATAAATAAATCATTTTTCCCTCAATAATAAGTTTTTGAGATAAGTTGTTTTTTTCAATTTTATTTTTCCTAATTAGATCTCTAAAAACACTCCACGTTTTTTGAGGGTTTCCTTTGATTTTTTCAAGCAGTTTAGCATAGTAATTTACTTTTGATCGTTTTTTAGTTTTTCAAAAAAACTTTTATAATTTTTGTTATTAGTTTCATTTTTATAAGTTTTATTTTATAAATATTTATCATACAATTTTTGTTTTTTCCTTGATGATTTAAGTAGGCCTTTGGTCATCCATGAGGATACAACCGACTTTGAGTTTATTACTTTCACTTTTAAAGGAAATGCTTTATCATACATTTTCGAAAATTGGTAAGCCATTTTCACAAAGATTTTACCATAAAAGATAAAAACAAGGTCAGCATAAACTTACCAACCTCGGGCATTTTTATGTTTTTGCTTGGTTAGCTTTAGAGTTAGGTACAATAATGTATTGAAATAATTAATTATTAAATAAGGAATGTGTTTTTAGATACTAAAGTTAAACACATAATAGAGTACTTGCCGCAATTACTTGCAAAAGGCTAAAGCTAAACATATTGTTTTAAAAAATGCTGTATGTTTGTATGATTTTTTAAAAACACTCGAATATATATATACACAGCAAAATCCAAGGTTCTAGGTTAAGAACTTTTGTTTTTATTTTAAGAACTTGATTCTTATTTTAAGAACCTGATTCTTATTTTAAGAACTTGATTCTTATTTTAGATATTTCAATAAAAAAAATTGTTCCTAATTTTATAATATAATAAAACATTTTGTTTGTATATAATATGTATATATATTTATATATGTACACATATTATATACAAACAATGTTTGTATATATATATATATATATATATATATATATATATATATATATATATATATATATATATATATATATATATATATATATATATATATATATATATATATATATATATATATATATATATATATATATATATATATATATATATATATATATATATATAATCAATAGATAATCAATAGATACCTGCAGGTATACCTAAAAAAAATTAAAGAATTCAGAAAAATTAAAGCCACTGAATTTCCCTTTCTGAAAATCCTCCCCACCCTCTGATAGATCTTGTGTTCATGATTTTATGTAATCAAATTGTCTAATCCATTTGATCCATAAGACTAAAATACAAACCAGAAAAGTCGTATACTTCAAGAATTTTATAGAATTTGTCTTTTATAAATGCAATATTCATATCTGCAAATCTGCATAAATCTAAACAGCATAAAAGTAAATCTTTTTATGGGCGAAGTAATAGCAGAATAATATAAATGTAAGGTGCAAGCATGCATAAGAGCGATTTGGTTTAAAGTGCTCCAAAGCTGTGCACTTCTTTATAATAAATGAATTTAATAAAAATGAATAAACTGCCGAGCGACGGATCAAGGAGTTTTTGTGTGGCTAAAGACTCTGCCCCTTTCGTTCATAAGAAATTTTGAAGATTTTAAAATGGCTGCGGATCTTAGCTACATGTTCAAAAAGTTCAAAAGGATCTTAGCTACATGTTTAAAAAGTTCATAAGAAAGTTCAGAGATTTTAAAATGGCTGCGGATCTTTAATTTTGGTTTTGTAAAAATTAATGCTGCAACTTATTTATTAAACTCGTGATAAAGTATTTGGATCAAATGTTGTTTGTTGTATTCAAACCTAGCACCTAATTTTTTCATAAATAGAATAACATCAATAAAACTGTATTAAACCAGCAATATATTTTTCTAAAGTAAAAATAGATTGTATTACTAAAAAGCAAATCTCTTTTAATATTAGGTATGCGGAAATCACGATTTACGGAGCCGATTGTGCTAAAATTTTGTGGCTCGTTTTTAAACTTTTTTTTATGTAGCATTAGGCAAACGTATTTTTTTGAAGTTTTTTTTAGAAATATATATACAGATAGATACTTTTTCAAAAGAAGAAAGATTAATCTTGATTCTTATATAACTTTCATGCATGGTTACTGAATTTTTTTATGGATTATTTTGGTTCTGAAATATAGGTTGATGTTCTCACATAAATATGTAGTTGAAGGAATATTGATCCCGGTCTATTCATTATTCAAACAAATTTCTGCATGCAATTTCTATGCACATATCAAATTTCAACGAAAAAAAAAAGGGAGCAGATAGGTTTCAAAGGGTTCTACTACGCATACTGCATTTTTTTGGTAGTCTTAGTAAAACGTACTTTTGTGGTATTTCTTTTTAGAAAAATATGCAAATAAAGGTTTGTTTTTGAAAGAAGGAAGGTTTTGCGTGACTTCTGTCTAACTTTTATGTATGGTTACTAAACTTCTTTATGTGTTATTTTGCTTCAAATTTTGCATGAAAATTTAGACGATGTTTTCACTTGAATTTGTAGTAGAAGGAATGTTGATCCCAATCTATTTATTATTTAAACAATTTTCTACATGCATTTTTTATGTAAATGCCAAATTTAAACGAAAAAAAAATAGAGCAGGCAGTTTACTAAGTGTAACTCTTTTGGTACCTAATTTCTGTTTTTCTGAATTATTTTTCCGGGTATGGGGCTAGGGGGGGCCAATTGCAAAACAATTGTTTTGCGAGAATGTTTACTCGCATATTTTTTTAAATAAAAGTTTAAGTAATAATTATTTTTAAAACTAAATTATGTTGATAAATTTAAAAATCTTTTTTAAATTCTTAACGTTTAAGACTAAAACTTCAGTAAAACTGTTGCTTTTGAATTAATTGTTAACTCAATTGAGTTACAATTGAGAATACTTTGATCAAAGTATCTGTGGACAACTTTATAAAAACACCATAAATAAGTGTAAAGGTCACATACTTTATGTAATGTTACACTTATTTATCTTTGCACTTATTTACTTTACTAACAAAGGCCTTGTTAGTGTTTTTAAAATATATTATCATCATCTAATTATCATTTTATAATAAAACCATTTAATTATTGATCACAATAGCCTGTTTAATAGGCTATTGTAAACAATAATTAAAATATAAACTTTATATTTTAATTATTGTTTTATAATAACTTTATAATAAAGTAGTATACAATTTTTATATTCCATTATCTAAAAATATTAATTATTAAATACAAAAATAAAGTAGTATACAATAAATTAATGTAAAAAGTCAATAACAGTTATAACTTTTTTTATTAAAATACTTTAAAAACATAAACTTAATCATTAAGTTAATGTTTTTAAAGTGTTTTAATAATGTTAAAGCAATATTAATAGTATAAAAGATAAAATTGTTATTAACTAATAATATTCAATAACAATTTTATCTTTTATACTATCAATATTATTTTATATTAATAATTTTGAATTTTAAATTTCAAATTAATAAAAAATTAATAATAATTAATTTATTGTTTACTACTTTAACTTTGTAGCAATGTTCCAAGTGTTAGTTTGTTGTTTGTAATTAGATTTTTTTATATTTTCATTGTTAATTTTCTGTTTAAGTTTTCATTTTGCCATTTATGAGGGTAGATTTGAAAAAAGTAAACAAGAAATAACATGGCAGAATTTACACTATTTCTTATTGGAAACAAGATAGAACTGATATTTAACTGTCAAAAGATTAGAAACTCCAGCTAGTTGCTGTTGTTATATCAGGGAAGTTTAATTTTCATAATTGGAATATGAAATTAATGTAAAAATGCTCACAGTATAGCAAGTTTTGTAACCAGCAAAATAACTGCCACAAGTTTTATGGCTTGCAAATAGGTTTTGCAAGTTTTGTAACTTGAAAATAAGTACAACAAGTTTTTTGACTAGCAAATAAGTACCACAAGTTTTGTTGCTTGCATATAAGGTACAGCAAGTTTTGTGGCTTGCAAAGAGGTACCACAATATTTGTGGCTTGCAAATATAGTACAGCAAGTTTTGTAGCTTACAAATAGGTATTGGAAGTTTTGTGGCTTGCAAATAGGTACTTCAAATTTTGTGACTTGCAAAATAAGTATCGCAAGTTTTGTTGCTTGCAAATAAGGTACAGTAAGTTTTGTGGCTTGCAAGTAGGTACCGCAAGTTTTGTGGTTTGCAAATTGATAGTTGGCTATGGCTTACCTTTACGTGGTGTCTATTGTTAAAAATTATTCATTTTGTTTCTTAAATGTAATTTAAAAATTAAATTATTTACTAGAAGCCCAGACGAGAAATAATTACATTTTTTATTTCAAAAAACTTGTTTTTTTTGTGTGTTTTTTTCTCAGGTTGGAGTGGTTGATCTGTTCCTTTACACGATAATGTATACTCAGATGCATCTTGTAATGTGGTAAAATAGTTTTTTATTCTTATTTCTTTTTCTTTAAAAAAACATTTTAAGATTTCTTTGTTAAATTGTAATTAAAATTTTTTTATTTGGTTCCGACAGAGGAGGGGGATTGCTTGCTCCTCTTTTTATAAAGACAGATTATACACCTCTAGGTGTATAAATTGCCTTTATGAAAGGGGGTGCATAAAGGCAATTTATACATACTATACTACAATTTTTATTTCGAAAGGCTTGTTGCTTTCGTATATTTTTTTTTTAGGTTGGAGTGTATAATCCGTCTTTTTTGACAAAATGGTTACTCTGATGCATTTTGTAATGTGTTAAAATATTTTTTTATACTAATTTCTCTCTGTTTTTTAAAAAAGCATTTTAACATTTTTTTGTGAAATTTTCATAAATTATTTTTTTCAGGTTCATTGCAGAGGGGGGGGGGGCAGTATGCGCCCTCTTCCATCAAAGCAATCTATACACCACTAGTTACTCTTTGTTATAGTGTTGAAATATGTATTTTTGTTTTTTATAATAGATTTAATCATTTTAGTAAAGATAGTAATCATTAAAAGAATGAAATTTTGATAGGGTGTGTTAAACCTTCCCCAAAACCCATGACCCAACATTAAGATAAACCTGTAATATTTGCTAGTGATGTGGAATAAATAATAACTTGTTGTATTTAAATATTACTAATTTTATAAAGAAAACACTCTATTTTAAAAAAAAATATGTATTTTTGTGAGGTGTAGGTGGCAGATTAGCATACTTCTGTATCCGTCCATGCACTCTTTATCTAGACACTAGTTTGAAATTATAGCCTATTTTTACATCTATCTTTTGATACTAAGTTATAGATATTTAAATAAGAATTGTCAAAGTTATAATAATTTATGTAGAAAATATTTTTTTTTTACCACAGTTTTATCAAGAAATCCACATATTGAAAAATTGCTACTAAAAACGTTATATTTTATTATAGAATTGTCTAATTTTCATAATTTTTTAACCTTTAAAATACTGTATTTGAGGGCTTTCCAATGATATATAGCATTCTAGTATTGGATCAGTTTTAAAAAATCAGTCCACGTACCTATAATTATAAATTTTATTTCTCAAACATACTAATATGATATATTATATATCACTCATATGATATATTATATAACACTCTAATATAATATATTATATATATACTACTAATATGATATATTATATAACACTACTAATATGATATATTATATAACACTCTAATATGATATATTATATATACTTATAATTTATAAACCAATAATGTTTTATGAATATCTAATCTAAAAACAAGATATTTAAGTTAATTTACTTTCAAGAATATCACTCTTATTCTAATATTCTTTTCTTTCTTTTTAAAATCAAATTGTGTGCTCTTGTTCATCTATTAAATTGTCTGTTTGTCTGAAATCACACACAAGTTACCCTACCTCTTCCGATCTGTAATTTCTTTTTTCCAATCTGTAATTTCTTTTTCTATAAAAAATTCTCAAAATTATCTTCCTCTTTTAGCAACCTTAAATTATATATTCTAAAACATTGTTCAGTTAAGTACAGCATAACAAATCACATCACAAACCAATGCATAAAATCATGAAATAATTTATCATTTTTTATTCATAGAATAATTTATTTTTTATATTCACTTTGTATCACTAAACTTTACTACTAAAACTCATCTTTATGTCTTTTTATTTTGAAGAAATGTAATTACTGTTCGTAAAATGTTGGACTTATTGTGGGTCATTACTATTGTTCTTAGTATGATTATATGTAATATAAATATCAAAGTTATTTTACTTCTATTCATATCACTATTACTTATTGTTATTGTTTAATATTAAATTTAATATTTATCAATATTATTGTTATTATTATTGTTGATATTGTTATATTAATATAAATATAAATGTTAAGATTACTTACCTCGTTATAATTGTTTTAATATTGTTATTGCTATTATTATACAATTGGTTTTTACTTAAGATTAGTATTAGTACTAATTTTAAATATCCATGTTTATGTTGCATACATACACATATATGACATATATGTGTGTGTTTTCTTTTAAGCAATTGCAAGTTTCCAAATACATGCAAAGTAAAGTAAGTAAATGCACTAGAACATTGTTCTGGTGCATTTTAATTGAACTAAGTATAGAATTTTAATTTATTAACCTAGGTAAATAAATTTCCAATTGAGAGAGTTGACAGAGTTGCAGTATTTTTAGAGAAATAGCAATGTTTCCCTAATGTGCTGTTGGTAAAAAAAAAAAAAATTATTTGTGATTTCATATATTTATTGGATAAAATGAATTAGTGTTTGAAAATCACAAATCCTTTTATAAATTAGAAGGTATTTTTAAAACTGCTATGTCCTCTAATGGGTTATTCTATAAGTTTTCTCTGCTTTTTAAAGTTGTATGCTTTTTTTATTATTATTATTTAATTCAGATTGTTGGCGACATGGCACATGTATTAAAGTCTTCTGTCACAGTTGACTCAGCAAGAATGAAGTCATTGATACACTTTTACGTTATGGAATACACAAGGTGGCAGTTCCTCGCCCACTGCTACCCAAATACAGGTAGGTATGCATGCATACACAACCCTCAAAATTAGTAAAACTAAAATGGGTTATAAATTGTCGACATAAGATATGAAAAGATATTATTGTTAAGTTTTAAGTTTGTAAAATTTTTTTTCAGGTATAAGAAATCCTTATCTGTACGTAACAGACGCTGGAGACGAAGTGATTATTATGTGTGGCAAAAGATTATTTTATGAAGTTTTTCATTTTCTGACTTCGTGATGGAACTTATTGGAGTACACTTAAAATTTTTTTTTTTTTAAATATTATTAAAACAAGATAATAGAATCTTATTTTAAGTAAAAATAATATTGAAATAAGAAAAAAATTCCTTTTTTTTTTTAATATAAGTTCTTGAAACAAAAAAAAAAAAATCTTATTTTAAAAATATAAATTCTTGAAACAAAAAAAAAAAATCTTCTTTCAAGAATATAAGTTCTTAAAACAAGAAAAAAATATTCTGTGGCGGACAAGTCTTTTTTTTCTTGTTTTAAGACTTTTTTTTGCTTAAAACAAGAATCTTGGATTTTGCTGTGTACTAGAAAACCCAGTGGGCATGCTTCGTTTTGAGGACGTCAGACGTTTCATGGTTGCCTAGACGTCCATAAGACGTTCAAAAAACGTTCTCCGGACGACGCAAGCCAACTAGAAAGGCACTAACAGAAGAGGGGTGTTGTGTCCAATTATTATTGCTAATTTATTTAATTATTAATTTAATTGTCAACATCTAAAACACGATCGTGTCGCATGTCACTAAGTCCAATTTAGCGCGCCACTTTTAAACTTTCTAAACGTGGCGTAAAAAATCGGGCTTGGTGACATGCGACACGATAGTGTCTAGATATTCCGTGACAAATGAAAAATTTTAATGTCACGCCACACTTATTTTAAAAAAGTCGCGTGACTTATAAATGTTAGGTCTTACTTAATATTAAGTTAGGTTATAAATTTCACGTCTTACTTAATACTAAGTAAGACGTGACATTTATAAGTTACGCGACTTTTTTAAAATAAGTGTGGCGTGACATTAAAATTTTTCATTTGTCACGGAATATCTAAAACACTATCGTGTCGCATGTCACCAAGCTTGATTTTTTACGCCGAGTTTAGAAAATTTAATTGTGGCGCGCTATATAGGGCTTGGCGACATGCGATTATGCTATGCTATTATAATAGCTATAAGACGGCAATGTCACGCCAAACCTAATATCTAATAATCGCGTGACAATTTTAAATTTTAATATCGTGTGTTAAATCGGGCTGCGTGACATGGCGGCTTTATTAAACAATATGGCCTGACTTTTTTTATAGTGTACGAAAAACTCCATGAACGCACTCACTAACAAATCTACTTTTAAAGAACACGCATGAACTACTTACAAACTTAATTGAATTGTTTAAGATTAAGTTTTAGTTTTAACTTTCCATATCACATTATTTCTTACTACTCATGTGTGTTCTTTATTTTATTATATTTAAGCGAGTTATATATAACTCATGCGATAAAAACATCGGATAACTTAGTTCATTATAATAAAAAAAAAAACTTACTTCGTTCACACTTATCAATTACATCGTTCCTTTCGCAATAAACCAATCCGTTTTTAATATCTTTCCATACTTTGTTAGGATACTTTCTAATCCAACTGTTTAGAATTTGATAGGTTTGTTCAAAGGCAGTATTAAACTCACTCAACACACAATCAATTTTTTCATCGCCAATATCCAATCTACGAGCAAGCTTTTTCCAGTCATTGGGTAATTCATGTGCAAGCGTGTTCAACACTTCTTGGGGAAGTTTTTTAACTAAAAAAATGAAATGGTTTTTTTAAACAATGTCGTAAACATTGTTTATTTATATAACAAAAACAAAAATCACCCTTTAAATCATCGAATTCGTTGCAAACACCTTCTTCCTCCATTTAATTTTAAACAACGGTTTGTTACTAAAGAATGTTTACTGAAAATAACTTTTCAAACTCCAATATCATCTGTAAATGAGTACTTCTAATATCACCTGTAAAAAACTTCTCAATTTTTATGTTTGCCAACAAAATTGAATTTGTTTACTTAGACGTTAATATATGTCAAAAAAGAACAGAATATGTTTTACAGTTTTTAAAATAGTAAATAAATTTCTTGACGTGGCATTTTAAAAGACATGTACTTTTGATTTATAATTCTGCAAAAAACGCGCTTTAAAATGTTAATGTTTGTGGATCACCATTTTTATCTTACAACAAACTAGAAACAGCTTCACAGTAAACTCACAACAGATATAATCTATTTGCTAAATCTACAAAGTTGGTGTCAACAACAAAATTAGAACAATCGAGAGGACAGAGAGGTAAATACAAATTAGAGTATAGTTGCTAGCTGCTATAGACTGATACAATTTAGATAAGTTAATCGTTTATTGTTTCATCTCTTTTAGATAATCATGATGGTATTCAAAAAGGGATAAAACGATTTAAAAAATGAAATTTTTACAAGACGCCGTGTAAAAACATTTTTATAACTTATGTATCCTCCGTAATTTTTTTACTTATGTTTCATACAGTAGAAAAACATTATAACACAATAACTCCATTTTTCAAAAAGTAGAGATGATCAAGATATTTCTAACTTTGCGATTAACTATAAATGATTTTTGTAACAAGTTGTTTAACAAAAATAGTTTGTAAACCGTAGAAAAATTAGATCTAAAAGACCAGAAAAATATTAAAGCAATCTTTAACTTCACGTGAAAAAAATACTTTCTATTTAGACAATTATCTGACCTGGATAGAATTTGACATATGTATATCTAAAAAAACCATAAAAACAACAACAATTGATTAGCGATTGCAATCCCGGGATCCCGGTTTTTTATATATTCCGAAATCCTGGGATTCTCTATTATCAAATCCGGGATTTCCTATAAGATTGAGCAAAAAAACAACGTACTGAAAAAATATAACAACGTACTGAAAAAAAATTACAACAACTTATGCGTCTCAATAAAATAACTTAGAAATATTATAAAATTGCAGAAAATAATTGTATTTTTAGCTGTGCAATTAAAAAAATTATCAAAAAGGTTTTTTTTGCAAAAAAAAAAAGGTCAACGTTTTGTCTTTTAAAAGGAAGATTAAATAACTAAAGAAATTAAGGTCCAAATACAAATCCTAAATTTATTTAAAAGATTAAACAGGAATCAATTTAAACTTTATACAATACTAAAAGTTAATTTTTTTAGCCTTTAAATCTTCAAAGTTCTTGATTTTTTTGGTTATGTCTAATTGTGTCGCTCTTTCATTTTCGATGGATATTATAGATTAAGTTATTCAATCGTTCGACACTCTTAGTAGATCTTACATATTTTTTTATTAGCTTCAATTTGCTAAAATTCTCACTTGCAACAGTAATGAGTTTGACAGACATTCGTAATAAAATCCAAATAATAAGAATCACAATTTGCCATTCACTTGATTTTATAAAGTTCAAGACATTTAGCGGACGTCCAAGAGTATCTTTAGGCAAAAGGGTAGATATAAATTTCAACTCGTCAAACAATTCTGTGCCATCAATATCGCAATTATTTTCCATTTTTAATTTCAAATGCAGACCTTTTCAAAATTTATGCAAGTCATTGTCCGCAGGTAAATTTCTTCAGATTAAATAAAATTTCCCATGTTTGGTGAAATTCATTCAGTTGTTAAAATCTTTCTTGAAAAGATGTTATGACATTAAAAATGTTCTTTGGAATTATTACAATTGCATCTCTACTCTCAAAAGCAAACATTTTTTTTTACGGCGTAATCTTTTTATAAATAAGCTCAACTTGCAAAGATTCAGCCAATTTTTTTTCATTCACGAGAGAGTTTTCAAAACCAGTTACCTTATATTCTATCACAAAATCTGTACATGATTTCATAAGTGAAACTACTGAGGCTATATCCATGGCTGTATGGATTTGCTAACAATATTTGCACGATATAAAATATTAAACCAGGTAACAAGCATTATCAAAAAAGAAAAAATGTTTATCAGAAAATGTTTAAGCTTCTAGTTTAATGGAAATACGAGTTTCACTCAAAGTTACTAAAGCATCGTAAATTTTCACTATTTGATACCGTATTGGTTTTTAACATTGAATTTGACTTTTTAATTGAGTTTCACAAAGAAGTAAAATTGGATAAATGACCTTTAGGTATATTCCATCTAGATACTGAAGCTGAAAACAGTGTATATATTTGTTAGAAAAAATGATATCGACTCAATAAAAGATGATGCACAATCACTTATAACTAAATTTAGAGAATTACATCCACAAGCAGGGCTGTGGAGTCGGAGTTAGAGTCGGAGTCGGAATTGCAGAGTTGTGACATTTTCAGCAGAGTCGGAGTCGGAGTCATTAAACAAAATCGCGACTCCGACTCCAATAGTAAAATTTCTCGGTATTGCACGTGCCTGTACAAAACATTCAGTTTACCTTATATTCATAATCAGTCAGAGTCGAAGTCGTTACTTTTTTTTACGATTCCATACACATAAAAAATCTCTTGGATTTAGTTCACAAACTCAAGCTTGTACGCCTTTATTTTTACCCTTCATATTTGCAGCATTATCATATCCTTGCTCTATACAATTAATTAGACTTAAATTTACATCTTTCAACAACTTTTGAAGAGGAAATAATCTGTCTGAAGAAACACGAAAAGATAAGTTGTTTTTCGATAGGTACAAAGTTTTGTTGCACATGCGATCTAACACAAGTCGCCAACGATCTCTTTCTCTAATAATTAAAGATTGCTATTTTTTATCAATAGTTTTGTTTGTTTCAAAACTACGACTAGCATCAAACCAATTAGTAAAACACCTCAAATAATCAGTGGAATTTTCATGTGATTTCAAATATTCAGTAACACGTTACCAGTTATAGATTTAAACTGTGGCCAATGATGATTTAGGTTTATTTGAATAATAAAGCTTACAACAAACACAAAATACTTTATTGGAACTTAATGAATATAGTAGCCAGATTTTCAAATAAGATTCGCCATTATTTAATTTTCTGTACAATAATAATTTCAGAAAATAACAATTGTTACGATCTTGTGGAAACTCAATAACACACGAATTTTAGAATTGAGGGGAACTGACGCATTTATATCTATTTGAACGTAACCAGCAGTGATGTTCAATTAAATATAAATGATTCTTAACTATAGCCAGCAACTAGGAGACTGACATGTTTTTTTAAGACTACTTTTTTCCATTTTCT